CATATACCCTGAAATCCTTCTCCATCCATATGTCAAGGCCACTCATTAATCATCTCAGTTGCAGCTATTCTAAAAGATACAAAGGAGAATTAGACAGTGATTCTGCTCTCAAGTTGTTTGTAATTTCATGATGAAGATAAGATATCTGCATTTATAATTCAAATCTGTGAGAGAAAATGTTCAGTACCCAACAATAACAAAAAATCTTCTTCGGGACCTAAATAGCTTAGAAGGAAAGGCAAAGGTCTCCACTGCCCTTTCCCATGTACTGGACTCTTAGGTTAATGCACCAAGAGTAGTGGAAAGTGGAAGTGTAGGGACTCTGCAACAGACACATCTGAATTCATTGCCTAGGGCCAGGGCCCAGGTGGGGGAAGGTGCCTCAAACTTCTGAACTCACTTTCTTGTTTGCTTAATGGAGATACTTATATCTTCTTTTTAGAGCTGTTATGGAGATTAAAAGAAATACTCTTTGTAAAACATCTATTAAATAACGCATGCTCTTTAAATCATACTCCCCTCTGGAACACCACTGGTCTAAAGTTCAATGAGCCCACTGCAATGGACACAGTCCATCAAGGAAAAATATTTCATTGAAATGTACCCCGAGAGTTGCATATCTTAACTTATGTCATGTTTGTTAAAAAATGAAAATTTTATATCCTTTAAAGTTATTAAATGTCACTTGAAATTTCAAATCGTTGAGTATGATGACCAAAAATGAGTAAGTAGTTGATGCTTTTCAAATCTACTACACGGCCTTCCCTATCTCCAAGAAACCACTGGTATAGAAAACTGAGTTTGTCATGTGATTTTCATTATGAGAATGCCTCTGCTAGGATGTGAAAGTTGTTGTTTACACGATTTAATACTCTACTTTCTAGTCAACCATTTAAAGTCCATGAAGAGTAGGAAAAGAGTAAAATCTGAAGAATACGTGGAAAAGGCCTTTGAACCATGTTGAAGGGCTATAGATGGGAGTCAATTAGCCGTAACTAACAGTCCTGAATTCATTGCTCCAGCTGGTTATTATTTTTGAGCCTCATTACACACATCTGACAATCAGAGGCACTTATACAGGCCTCTCCTGGCTCTCCTGTGAGAATAGATCTGGGAAAGGATTTTGTACTCCCAGGTGAAGAGAAAGAGAGCTTTAGATATAATAGATCCATAAAAGCAGTTGGCCTTTCTTAAAAGAAGTATGACTGTGGGTGTGTGTGCACATATTCAATTAACAAACATTACTTATTAAAAAACTGTCTGTTGCTTTGCAACTGCAGTTGTATATAGTTACTCTCAAAGACATCAACTCCTCTCATTGAGGTTTCACATGAAATATTCCAACAAGGACAAAACAAATACACAGTTTACATCTTACCCCTGTGATGACAGTGTGAGTGGTCACAACACTCTTTTACAACTTTTGTCATATGCATGGACTAAAGAAGTAAAATCACTAACAGACTCCTACTGCTGAAATTCTTTATAGTTCTACTTTTATATTTGAAATACTGTAATATATAAACATTCGAGGTGACATGCTCTTATTCTGGTTGAATTGGGAAATATGGCACTTTATTGTGTTTGAGATGTTTAAAAGTATTTAAAGAGATGTTGAAGAATTAAACTTTGAATTTTGTAAGGGCTTATACATTCACCTGGTTTAAAATTACAAAGGTAAAAAGAGGAAAACAATGAAAATTCTCTTTCTGGCCAGTTTCCCTCTCCAGACCAAACCACTGTCACCAGTTTATTTTGTTAAATGCCAGGGACCTTACAAATTGAGAAGCCTAGAGTTTCATACAAATCAACAGAGAAAGAGATCGAGGGTCAGGGACACAGATTAGCAATGGGTTAAGAATGAGAGTAGAGATACACTTGCCTTATTGAAAAATAAGAAATGATTTTAATGGAGGAAATACTAAAGCCTATCAGCTGTACCGATAGCAATTCCACACACAAGTTTCTAGACCAGACCTGTCTGACCAGCCTGTTCTCAGAGTAGCTAAGGTAACCCAAGGAATAGGAAGGCTGATGTAAACAAAGTAAGTAGCCATTGGAAGTACAGACTTGCTAAAGATACAGTCGAGGAAATTTAAAGAATTGGCACCTGGAAGCTGAGAAAAGAAGATAGGAGAGCAGAGAGTTACAGGAAGAGGAAAGGAGAGGAAATGCCTGTAACACTTGCTGGTTTCATATTGGGAACACAAGAGGGTGAGTCAGTCATGCCCAAGTTTCTCTTTCTGTTTCAGTATCTACTATCTATGTGACTTTGGGCAAACCTTCAAGGTTCTCATTTGTAAAATAGTAACTTCATTAAAGAATGCCATTCGTATAATATACAAAGTGCTTGGAATATATAAGGTCTGTGTTCTCCCATGACAAATATTAGTTATGACCTATAGGAAGACAACTTTCAGTCTCTGAAGGATTGAGATTCTCTACTTAAAGTTTATTCATGTAGCTCATCTGTATGATGGGGAAAAATCTGAAAACAATCTATTTTCTTTAAATTTGAAATAAGAGAATTCATAGTTGCACAACTTCCTAAAGAAAAGATGAGTACTTCTCTCAAAATCAGTCCAAGAGTTTAAGTGAAATGCCTTTTCTCAGGACCACCAAAAATATAAAATTTTAAAAATAAAGCCACTTTATTTCAGCAGAGAAATTTCAGTGTATAAGATGTTACACCATTTATTTAACATCTTAATGAGAGTGATTCTAGGTATTTTAGCTTAGATGTTTTTCCTAAGACATTTTGATGAAGGCAAACTTTGTAATTAGTGGCCTATAAATTTAATTGTGTCGTCACTCCTATAATCCATTTAGTGTCCCCCTTTCCTGAACTAGCTTACTCAATTAGCCCTTATTGTTTTCCACCTCTAAGGACAGAGTAAAACACTGTATCCTAGAAGAGAGGCACTGGCCACCAATGTTTCTTATGTAAGTCCTGTTTTGTTATGGTCTTTTGGGCTCCTAAGCAGTTTGGAGAAACAGGGGCATAGATAAATCTTATAAGGGGCACCTATTGTTACTCTTAGAAGTTCACTATATGGCCCAAGTTTCAGGCAAACACGAGCATTGGTTGGGTCTTTGTGCTTGACTTTGCCTTGACTAATGCCTATCAGTATTTTCATGAGTCATTTTGAGTGGCCAATGGTAAAGGTCTCAGTACTAAGCAAATATTATTCAATTAACTACGTTGAGAAGAGGTTTATTCAGGCAAGATAGAGGGCATCACAACACAGGTTTCATAGATTGTGATTAAACCTAAGCTATTTGTCATAGTCTCTAAAGCCTTGGGAGTATGCGTGAGACTGAGCTAATTCCTCCGGCTTTTGTAAACTGAGTTTGGTAGTAAACTCCCTTGTAAATACACCATTGACATGCATTTCACCTTGCATTTCTTTATCTCAGTTCCCTGAACCTTAAAAATAAAATGTATAAATATATTCTACCTTACGTGGATTTACCGATTCATCAGTGTCTAAGGGTTCCACATTTCTAAATTAATAATTCTATAGTTTGTTCATACGCACATCAATCTTCCTTCTAATGACTTATTCTTGTTAATTTGTAAATGCTGACTCAGACATCACTAGGAAGATAATAGTGTCTGTAGTAACGGGTCTTAATCAGTTTCAGAAGTATTTCAGAGCAACGGACATAATGCTTCTTCATGTTTGCATCTGGTTTTTAACACTGTCAGACGTTTTGTGGGGTAAATTCATTATTACAAACATGTCAAGGAGCTGCTCACATTTTTATTGCACTAATCATCACAAAAATTAGTTTAACTGTATTAAAATTTTTAAAATAATGCATCCATTGAATTGGAAATTTCTTTTATAAACATAGATGTTTGAAGAGAACATTGGCCCTGCAGTATAACTCTTGAACTTTTACATACGATCTTATTTGACATGATCCTTTCATATCTCAGCTGTAGAGAGAGTTAGAGACATGTTTACGTCACCTAGACATGAGAGGTGGTGCTGAGACACATAGATGATGTGTCCTAATCACTTCTTCACTTCCTCCCAGTTCTTCACTTCCCCCACTTCTTCACTTCTTCCCATCAACTGTCCCACTCCAGCAAGGATTTTGCACTCTCAGAAGTGTTTTCTAAGATACAATATATAAGAATTTAGTGATCTGCTTTACTTCATAAAGAAAACTGTAAGGAACAAGGTGGAGAAATGAGACTCCATGTCCCTCTGCATAGTGACACCTGCTGGGCGGTAGCCCACAGCGACTTTTAAGCAAGTACCTGCTCATTTTACAGGGGTCAAAGCTCATTTCTCCTGCTGTTCGCTGTTCGAATATCTAGTCTGGACAAATAATTTCCACTTAAACATCAAAGTCAGTTCCAGAGTTTAACAAGTTTATCTGAAAATAGTGCTTTAAATATACCCCTGATATCTAGAGTTGTAAACCTTTATCTGTTGGCATAATTCAGAACAGCCTTTCTCCAGAAAATTGTGAAATAACTTCTTATAATTATGTTTTGGGAGTATCCTGGAGAGAAGGGTACTGGATATGAGCCAAAGCAGAGAGGTCAACAGAGTTACTGCCTTCGGGGCATTAAGGAAACGCAATAGGAAACAATACTCATTAAAAGGATAAACTTCTGCGACGAGATTGTTGGTGTATCACTACCGGTTTTAGAAAATTTGCTGCAGGAAAAGGACAAGACTCATGCCCTTTTAAAAACGCATCTCTTTGCCTTAAAAGGATGCAGTGATCCTTCTCTGGCAAAAAAACTGGTTTGCACTTTGATGTTTACAGCCAAGCAGAGCCTGTACGCCTTCCAAGGGCTGCTGGTAACCAACCAACCCTTGGAGCGCACCCTGTGAGTCGCTCACTCCACCGCGGGCTGCGAAGGGGCAGAGTCGCTCCGCCGGTCCTCCGCTGTCGCCGCGCATTTCTGCGTCTCCGGGCCGCGTGTCCGCTCGCCCCGCCCGCGCCCTCCGGCTCCGGCCACCCTCCGGGCGCTCTCTGGGTGGGGCCCCGCGCCCGGGAGATGCGGCCGGCGCGCCGGGCTGGGGATGCGCCGCGCGCCGCGTCGCTGTAACCGGACACCGCGCGCTCGCCCAGCCCCGGCCACTTTCCATTCACTCGGAGGTGCCGTACTGAGCGCCGCGGAGACGGGCTCCGGTGCCGCGGATTCCTTTACAAAGAAACTCAGGGGACCGGGAAGAAGGAATCTCACCGCGGGGCCGCTCCAGAAATTAAGGTCTTCTGGCGAAGGGACTGGAGACTCACTCGGAGCCCAACCGGCAGCAAATTGATGACTTTTCCGTGCTGATCTCTTCCCGCCTCGGTAAGCTGGATTCGTTTTTTCAGCATTACAGATTTCGCAAAATATAACTTTTGGGTCTGGGTATCGACTTGCACACACACCGGTGTGCTCCAGTCTGGACGTCTTCCTAAGAGCACATGCGGGGTGTCAGGAGCTGTGCCCTTGCCCGGAGCCCGGCTGGAGTCGTTTCTTTAGGTTGTGACACCTGCGGAGAGTTTCAAGTTGAGTATTTCAGTGCCTGCTAAGGTAGAATTGCTCGGGAGGACATAAAACAGTCCTTTTCTTACATATTGTTAGTGTTTGATCAGTAGAAGTGAAAACAACGAGCAGCGTGGTCTGTCTGAGTTAAAGGGAAGAAGTTACAAAATGGGGGGGGGGGGGCACGTGTAAGACACTTGTCTTGCCGTCTCTTCTCGGGGTGAGTTTGAAAGCGCATTGCTCTGTTGCTTGCTTCATTTGACCTGTCGTTTTCTCTCCAAGATTATTCTTTGCAACTTGTGGCATATGTCCCTTTTGGGAAGACATATCAGATAAGATACTGAACACAGCAATATGTAAAAATGTGTAAATATTTATCAGCTTGCTTAATAAAGAGACAAAACAGGCATATTTATAGCTTTTTCTTTTTTGGCTTTAACTTTATTATAATGTCAACAAAACCAGGGAGCAAATTACTAAGGGAAAGTCATCCCATAAAATCAATTTTCTTCTAAGTTAATTTAGGGATGACAGGGTGAAGAGGTTGTGGAAGCAGGAAGAAACTGTTTCTTTTGAAAATTACCAACACAAACATCTCTAGGGTTACCTCCATCTGTGTGGTAAAAGAGGCATGTAATTTTGTTTGTAACTCTCATAATATATGTACCACCTAGGAAATCAATTTATAATTTTTGTGTAAAATAGTATGTTCAGTTTAACTGTGTTTTTTCTTCTGTATTAATGAAGCTGTTGTTTCTATTTTACTGGCATTTCTTTATTGAATAAAATTATAAGATTTTAATTTTAAAAGCCACATGATATTGAAGATCAGCATTGTTGTAACCTGTAAAAATAAATTTCTAGATTAAACTCTGTCATGTCCTTTTATTGTATAATTATGCTAGACTCAAAATGATGGGGTTTCTTTTATGGTCCTGAGTTTACTTTGCATGTTGTGGCCACTAGAGTTCCTATAGACCTGTAGTTACACAATACTGATCTTCCTTGATACTTGGAAATTAGTTAATAGCATGTATCAATTTTACAGTTATGGTTTCAAACAGTAATACTTGTCTCTCTGATTTATCTTTTGGAATTTTGACAGCCCACTTTCTGGTTGATTTATTTTAAATATGCGCTGAGGGATACGTGGTTTACTGGATTGCCCAGGACTAGGTCATTTGTTTGAATTTGGCACGAGTCCATGGTTACCTCATCTGCATCATTATTTAACAGCTGCATGGTCATCTGTATAAATTGGCAGATAACTAATTCGAGTGATTTTAGTGATCAAGGATTGAGCACAGAGAGATTTGTATGTAGAAACACCATTTCAGAGACGATTACTCCAAAAGAGCTAATGCATATGGAGTGAGTGGGTACATGTGAATATTCATGTGGGATTTTCCTCCTACTACTATATTTATGGTAGAAAGAGAAGTTTTCATTCACTAATACCATTCTCAAGTCTTTTCAATGTAATGTGATTTTTAGAGACAAGATCAAGTTTAAATATTGGGTTTCCTTTGGGAATCAATTACTTTTTCCTGCCTGCTTTGTTCTCCTTTAATATTAGCATTATTTTGCTAGAAGATGAAAGAGTTTCTTTCTTGCAAAGACTTCCAGACACAAATGAATCAAAGTCAGATTTTGACATCTAAGAAGCAAAGTCACAGCACCTCCTACTGTTTACATGACAGTAAAGTTCACATATGTCTTTTGTGAATAGGGTGCTCTGTCTACATTGCTGGTTTTGTGTGTGGGTTTGTGTATGCTCCTAAAATGTGAAATGAAATATAACAAACTTGTTATCTCTCTTTTAAAGGTATTTTCCCTTGGATATCAACTTGCAGATCTGAAGAAATGGCATTCCGGGCAATTTGCGTGTTGGTTGGAGTATTTGTTTGTTCTGTCTGTGTAAAAGGATCGTCTCAGCCCCAAGCAAGAGTTTATTTAACATTTGATGGTAAGAAAGTTGATAAACACTTTGGGAAAAATGTTATTTGAGGGCTTTTTTTCCTTTCTTATCCAGATCAAAAATTAATAAATTAAAGACAGTAAAATCTTATTGAGTATTGATTAATTTAAAAAATATTTACTGGACTGCTTTTTGGATAACATGGCTATTTTAAATTATTGGTTAATAGACACAAAGCTCTATGTTGCATTTATTTATGAGAAATGCTTGAAGTACATTCTGTCCTTTTTAAATTCTTCTGTGTATGCATGGGGAGATGGTGAAAAACTCAAGCCTTGGATCTTTGATCTTAGAGTCCCTTGGTTTTGTTCAGAAACACCCCCCATGTGCTAATCCTCATCAGCAGAAAGAGCTATGCAGGGTTAATTACTGAAAAATTTCCCTGATAAATTTTGGGCCTTAACCTCAAAACGCGCCTCTTCTTATGTTGTTCTAATGGTGTTTCTTCTATTTCCACAAGGAGTTCCTGAGGTTGGCAACATCTCCTAAGTAACTGAAAAGGACCTAAAGAATAGTTGGAAATATGCTTTTGATTGCTGTTGAGTACAAATGTTATCTTCAGAAGTTTAGGGAAATGAGTGTGATTTCAAATTTTCACAAACATGAAAGGTCTAAGGTCCTCTGAGGGAATGGTTTGCCAAATGTGTGCATGAGCTTTAATGTATGTGGTTCAGACGACATAGAGATGGATAATTTCAGTCAATCATGTAACCCGTACTAATGGGACAAATGGATCAGGAAGATCATCCTGTCAATCAGCGTCATTTAGATTTTTATTGCTTCTTTCAATTCTGTCTCTGCGTAAACCTCAGTGTCACTGGGCATATTTTCATTTTCACTTGAGAAACAATACACTTGCAGACTTTTCTGTAGCAGGTTGTCTTTGAAACTCTCTGTTATCTTGAATTTGAAACAGCAGTATGACTGACACTTATCAGTCAAATGGCTATTTTTTTTTCTTTCTTACTTAAGTTGCCAAGTGCTTTCCCCAAGGTCATCATAAGCACTGAAGGAGCCTTATTTAGAACTTAAGAGTGTGTGAGCTTCTAATTGCCTCCTTGGCTTCTAAGCCAAGCATTCCTCTTAAAACTCATGGCTATCCAGTTAAGTTGTGAAGAAAGGAAAAACAGGCCCTTTGAAGTGTCCTTTTTCTTTTTTTAATTACTAAAGCAGCCTGCAGTCTGCTTACACCTTTTCTCCCAAGTTGAGAACTATAAAATATCTAATCAAATAAAAAAGAAAGGCAATAAGGAGCCCTACAGCTTCCCCCCTATTTTCTGTATTTCTCTCAGTACGGAGAAAGATGGAGTGGTCTCGTAGATTAGGTATCTAAATCTATTCTCTCTATTACATCAAAACTAACCAAACTTTTTTTAACCTAAACTTAACCCAAAATATGTAAATATTAAAAACAAGTGTGTCACCAAAGATGTCATTAAGTCTATATTTGAAAAGACAATTAAAATTTATCTTTTACAGAGGAAATTAACTAGTACAATCTTTTAAAACCAAACTTCAATACTATGTAGGACAGTAGCTGCTATGTACAGAGTGACTAGAAGTTATGATGGGCTTTTAAAATATTACATGTTTAATATTTTAAGTGCTCTCAGACTCAAAACAGATTCTTGCAGAATAAGACTTACTTGCCTTAATTTATAACTATGTAGAATACAGCATAATAAGATAGGCAATTGATCTGAAAGTTCTATAATTCCTGATATTTTATTTTTCCCAAGAATCTTACTAGGAAATAATCAGAGAGATAGACTATCACTTAATTTGGGTACTGTTTTAAGGAGATATATCAACAGGGAGAATAAACTTAATGAATTCTACAATTTCTAAATTAGTACAAAAAAAAACCCCCTCCTAATATGAACTATGTATTAGGCAAAGTATCATAGGAAAAGTACCTTGGGCAAAAACAGTTGTAAAAATATATAAATTTTGGTCATTAATTCATAGTCATTTTCTTAAGAGATCTGCCAGTATACCTTCTTGAGATGCCTATTCCAAATTTCTTATTATTTAAAGTTTCTCATTGACTTTATGATGAATTATCTGAGTATCCCACTGAGTAGGTTACTAAATTTCTTCCAGAGTGGTTTAGTCTTGTGATCAAAATATAAAACTTTGTACAGGGTTCACATATATATAAATATATATTAATTTAAATACATATGAATATATACTTTAATTTATTTCATATTTCAAAATTTCTATCACTCTTTCTCCACCAAAAATCAGCAATTGTAAGATGCTTTTGAGAAAGTTCAAATAATTTCAAGTTATATCCGGCAGAGGTCATTTGCATCTTTGTATTCTCTTGTAATTACCTTGCCTCCTGGCTCATTTGTCTTGAAATCTTCTCCTTCACTTTAACTTGGTCCTCTGCCTGTCTCTTTCTGGGTGGAACTTGGGAAGAATCCTCTCAGTCTTATCTTACTTACAGTCCGGTTAAGAATCACAGTCAGTTTAAAGGTGTGTGAAACAAGAGATCTCTTCTCCCATCCAAGTTCCATGTCTTCTTCTTGTTGTGGGATGATGGAGAGATAACATTTGGGAAACAGTGATTTACAGATTTGCCTTCTCTATTGATCTAGCGCAAGGTCAACCAGATGGTCATCAGTCCTATGGGAGAATGCACTTCAGATGTTATTAATTAGTTACATTTGTGCTAGCTAAATCTTGCATGTTAAGAGAACTGTGACTCCTATTAGATATTACGTTTTGTAACTTTTATAATTCTCATTTTATGCCAAATAGCTTTTCCAATGAATATAAAGTTCATGCAAATGCTTTTTGTTTAAGTAGAATTTTTGTTTAAAAAAAAATCCAATAGTTTGACAGATTCACATTTAATAGCATTATTGTCATTGTATTTTTTTTCCTAGAAAATCTTTGGAATCTATAAGGGTCATAAGGAAAGGCAAGGCTACATATGTACAATAGACAGAACTTGTTTTGCTTGCTAATATGCAATGGAAAGCATTGTTACAAAGATTCTGCCTTCATCCAGTAGAGATTTTAGCATGTAGTATTTTACAAAATCAGGAATAAATATTCTGTAGTTTGGTAAAAGATATCAGTTGCATGTAATTTTAAGAAAAGGTGCTGAGCTTCAGAAAAATGGGAATATTCTCTATATTTGAACAAATATAAAGTGTGATTACTGGGTTAACTGTGTTAAATATTGTTTCTATTTAAAAATGAGGTAGATTCTTATAATAAGATTACTTTCTCAGCTAGTAATTCAGATTGTGAATCTAAGATGTTCAATTTATTGGCACAAAGTTATTCATAATATTAGCTTATTATCCTCACTATGTTTGTAGGATCTATAGTAATGGTCTTTTTTTTTAGTTGAGGTAAACTGGTTTATAACATTATGTAAATTTCACATGCACATCATTACATTTCAACTTCTGTATAGACTACGTGGTGTTCATCACCAAAAGTCTAGTTTTCATACATCACCGTACAAATGTCACCTTTTACTCCTTTCACCCTCCCCCCCCCGTTCTCTATATCTATGTGTTTGATTGTTATTTTTCTTATCTTCCACGTATGAGTGAGGATAAAGATGTAGTAATGTTAAGTTCTGATATTGATAATTTGTGTCTGCTTTCTTTATGTTCTGATTGATCTGTTTAGAGATCATTTTTTCCATTTTATTGATCTCTTTAAATAATCAGCTTTTAGTTTTGTTGTTATTTCCTATTATTTTTCTGTTTAATATTTCCTTGATTTATGCTCTGAAATTCAATTATCTTATTTCTTCTTACTTTGTGTTTAATTTGTTCTTCTTTTTGGAACTTCTTAGTATGGAAACTAAAGTCACTGATTTGAGAACTTTTTTCTAGTATAAACAGTTATGCTATAAATTTTCTTTGAGACACTGCTTTTATTTTGATAAATATTTTGGTAAAATATGTTTTGGTTTTCAATAGTTCAAAATGTCTTCTACTTGCTCCTGTTATTTTTTCTTTTATCCATGGGTTATTTAGAAACATGTATAATTTGGGTATTTTTAATGTATCTCTCTGTTATGGATCTCTAGTTTATTTTCTTGTCAAAGAACATATATCATGTGCTTCTAATTCTTTAAAATTTATTTAAACGCATTTTATAACAGGGAATACAGTCTATAGTAAAAAGAATGTGTATTCTGCTTTTGTTACATAGAGTGTTCTATTACTGCCATTTAGATTCAATCAGGTGATAGTTTGTTATGTTTTCTGTATCCTTACTGATTTTCTATCAACTTGTTCTTTGAATTACTGACAGAAGAAGTTGAACTCTCCACCTATAATTATGGATTTGTCTGTTTCTCTTTTTAGTTCTATCAGTTTTCACTTAATGTTTTTGAATTTCTGTTACTAGGTACTGATGTATTTAGGAGCGTTATGCCTCCTGATGAATTGATCTCTTTTCCATTTTGAAATATCCTTGATTATTCCTGGTAATAATCCTTGTTCTGAAATGTATTTTGTATGTAACACTTTTATCTTTTTTGTATAATGAAAAACACCAACAAAATTTTAGTTATAATTAAGTGGGGAAAATGTTTGTCATAATTCCAATGGCCTCTAGGAAATTTTTATGAAAATGCTAGGAAATATGTTTAAACAGACATATATTTTTGATATACATGAATGTATGAACATTATATTGGCAATGTAGTATAGTAAGAACAGCATTTACATGAAAATAAAAATATCAGCGTTTTCAATCCATGATTCCTCACTAATTAACTCTGAAATTTTGTCAGGACCTCAGTTCCCCCAACCAGGTTAAAAAAAAAAGAAAAATTGAACTGGGGCTGGCCCAGTGGCGTAGTGGTTAAGTTCGCACGCTCCACTTCGGCGGCTGGGGTTTGCAGGTTCTGATCCCCGGAGTGGACCTACGCACCACTTATCAAGCCATGCTGTGGCAGGTGTCCCACATATAAAGTAGAGGAGAATGGGCACAGATGTTAGCCCAAG